TGTGAATAAACAGAAAAGGCCGGGGGGGGGGGGCAGAACAGACTTGTGGGTGAGGTTGGTGCAAGGGAGAAATGATATGGAAGAGGGGAGCCGAGCCAGCAGAGGTTTTAAAAATTCAGCAGTGACCTGTGTTCCCTCTAAGCTGAGTTAGTGTGAACTAGCTCACAGTTTTTTAGCCTCCGGCTCACACATTTTTGTCTCGGCTCAGGAAGGAGGGCTCCAGAGCAAACTGATTGATGCAGTAGCCAAATCACCTACTCACAACTTTAATGCCAGTAACTCACAAAGTAGAATTTTTGCTCACAGGACTACATCTTAGAGGGAACATTGGCAGTGACCCTAGTGAAGAGGGGCTGAGAGCCCTTCTGAGAATGGGCAGAGGTCCTTCTTCGTCTCTCAGGACTAATCCCAGGCAGCTTCTGCAAATATTTCACCATGGCCACTGGAACCAGCTCTTAGCAGCCCAAATAGCCCAGTATAGCCTGGGCTTGTCAGAGGCTATAAACTGAGCAGGGTTGGGCCACAGTCAGCACATTCTTTTGATCTGTTAATAAATATCTTTACTGTTTTGCATGCCAATTTAACAAGCCGCCCCTTGGGAAGTGGGGGAGAGCCAGTTTGGTGTAGTGGTTAAGTGCGTGGACTCTAATCTGGGAGAACCGGATTTGATTCCCTACTCCGCCACTTGCACCTGCTGGATGACCTTGGGCAAGCCACAGTTCTGGCACAGCTGTTCTTGAAAAAAGAGCAGTTTCTGTCAGAGCTCTCTCAGCCCCACCTCCCTCACAGGGTGTCTGTTGTGGGGAGGGGAGGGGAAAGGAGTTTGTAAGCCGCTCTGAGACTCCTTCAGGTAGTGAAGGGCGGGGTATAAATCCAATCTCCTTCTTTTTTTTATTTTTATTTTTATTCTTTTACTTGAAAATATACATAAACACAAATGGAGAAAATGAAGTTTCAAACAATACATGCATTACACTGTGTGTCCATCAAAGATATGTAAACAGTATCCACTATAATTATCACATCCACCGTGAGCCGGGGCGGGTTACAAGTTTAACTCATGGTGACCGGATTTAACTACATTTAGGCCCATTAGAACTAAAATCTGCCCTCCTCCTTTCCACCCTTGATCAGAATACTCCTCTTATTCAGGAACCGCAGATATCACAGGCATTATAAGAACAGCCATCTATGATATATGTGGTTTGTGGGTAATATCTCGTGATTCGTCAAGTAGTTCATTACTGGCGTCCAAAATCTACCAAATTTTAGCTGCGATGTGGTGTTATGCGCCTGAGCCCCCTGATTCAAAGTGTTAATTTTCGCCATGACGAACTGTTCCCACAGCTTGTCATGCCATAGAGATAAAGTTGGGGGATCTGGGGACTTCCACCGAGCGGCTATTGTCAGTTTGGCCGTTGTTAACAGAAGCGACGTGAGGTGTCTTTTGTCTTCCTTTATAGAGTCGTCCCATTTGTTTAGTAAAATCGTTTCCGGCTTAAAGGAGATTTTTTGGCCCGTCATTTCCCTCAAGCGTAAAACTATCTCCTTCCAAAATTGGTGGATTACTGGGCAACCCCACCAACAATGAATATAAGAGCCAACCTCTTCTTCACTATGATCTGTAATTCCATTTCATTGTCTGATGAAGTGTGTGTGCACATGAAAGCTCACACCTTGAATAAAACGTTGTTGGTCTTAAAGCCGCCCGCCTTGATCTCACTTGGGTGGGAGACCCCCAAGGAAGACTGGGGCTGCTCTGCAGACGAAGGCGATGGCGAATCACCTCTCCCGGTCACTTGCCTGGAATGCCCGGATGGCACCTTCCTTTTCTTCTGAGTGCGCTTTAACCCTCCTTCTGCCCTAATGGAAGAAAAGGCTAAGGTTCAGGAACGTACAGTGCTTCTGATCTGTTTGTCCACAGAATATGGCCGAAGGCTGAGGAGGGCAGGGTTTGGGGAGGGGCGGGACTTGGATGGGGCATAATGATGGCCAAGTGGCCGTTTTCTCCATGGAAGCCGATCTCTGTTGCCCGGAGTTCAGTTGTCACAGCAGGACACATTTCTCCAAGTATGTTCCCCCAGAGAGCTTTATGTTCATCTGACCAGCCCCTGCAGGTAATCCCTGGCCCAAAAGACATCCGTTTGGCCTCAGTCAGAGCCAGAGCCTTTTCGGCTCTAGGTCCAGCCTGATAGAATACTCTCCCTAGTGAGTTCGTACGGTTCCGCAGGGCCTATAAAATGGAGTTGTTCCACCGGGCCTTTCGTCAAGGTTACGGATGTCAAATTACATCAGCCTCCCCTGCCCTACTCTGCCTCAGCCTGTCTTGAGCTAAGCACTTTATTAAATTGTTCCATCAGCGGACGTTTTATCCACCTTCTGATCGGCCAGCCCCTTGGGCGGATATACAGTATACACCACGGAGCTTGTTTATTCACTCGCCATCATGTACTATATTATGGGCTTTATAGTTTTTTAATTGTATGTATTGAGAGCCAGTTTGGTGTAGTGGTTAAGTGTGTGGACTCTAATCTGGGGGAACCGGGTTTGATTCCCCACTCCTCCACTTGTAGCTGCTGGGTGACCTTGGGTCAGTCACAAGTTCTTTCAGAGCTGTTCTGTCAAGGATAGCTCTGGAAAGAGCTCTCTCAGCCCTGCCTACCACATAGGGTTTCTGTTGTGGGGAGGGGAAGGGAAAGGAGTTTGTAAGTCGCTCTGAGACGCTGAGTGAAGGGCAGGGTATTAATCCAATCTCCTCCTCCTCTGAGTGTTTACCCACTTGTTGTGACCTGCCCTGAGCCCGCTTGCAGAGGAGGGCGGGATAGAAATCTCAAGAATGAATGAATGAATGAATGAATGAATGAATGAATGAATGAAGAGGGGCAGGGAGCCTTTTCCCCCCAGTTACTCCTACCAGGGCTCAAGGCCAGGGGCCTAGCCAAGGATCTCCCACAATTGCTCAAAGCTACCTTCTGGGGTTTGGCTGTGACTGGCAGGCGGGCTGTAGCTTCTGATTGGCTAGGATGCCAGGGGGTTGCTCAGAGCCCTCCAGGTTCCCTCGCAGGGATGGCTGCTCACAGACCAAGCCAGGGTCACCAACCTCCAGGTGGAGCCTGGAGATATCCTGGAATCACAACCAATCTCCAGACTGCAGAGATCACATCCCATTGAGATAATAGCTGCTTTGGAGGGTGGACTCTACAGCATTTTACCCTGCTGAGGTCTCCCCCTTCCCTAAGCTCTGCCCCCCCCCCGCCTGCACCCTCAAATCTTCAGGAATTTTCCATCCCAGAGTTGGCAACCCTAGGCCTATATCCTCTTTTGGGTGCAGCAAGGTTCCTGAAGGGAAGCAGGCCCACAGTGCTTAATTCCTACAGCAAGACTGCCTGGGAGGGTATCCCTTCTCGCACGAATGCGCCGCCTCCTATTCCAGCCGCATAGACCCCTTGCAGTGTGGCTGATGCCCTTCGCAGCCAGGTTCCCTCCTGCAGAGACAGGAAAGCAGCAGAGCTGGAAGTAGCGGAATGGTCTGGGCCACTTCCAGCTGCAGGGGGAAGATCCAGATGTGGATATCCCTCTCCTTTGAAAGGTAGCAGAGCAAGAAGAAAAGTGTCTCCGAGCTTGCTGTGTTGGTTATTATAACATAGGGAAGCATTCTGAAATGAATGGTGGCAGTTTGTTCTGCCACCTCGTTCCCCGGAGTGTCAGGATAGAGCCCCGGCATGGATTAAGTCCTTTTTACCTTTGTACGGTGGCTCAAGTGGTTAAGACGCTGAACTGCAGGCTGTGGAAGGTCGGTAGTTCAGCAGTTCGAGACCCGAGTTGCCGCATGACGGAGTGAGCTCCCATCTCTAGTTCCAGCTCCTGCCAACCTAGCAGTTCGAAAGCAAGAAATTGCAAGTAGATAAATAGGGACCACTTCGGTGGGAAGGTAACAGCGTTCCGTGCCCCTTGGTATTTAGTCATGCCGGCCACATGACCACGGAAACGTCTTCGGACAGCGCTGGCTCTTCGGCTTGGAAACGGAGATGAGCACCACAACCCTAGAGTCGGATTCGACTGGCTTTCGAGCAAGGGAACCTTTACCTTTACCTTTTACCTGGGAATACCCTTCCCTAAGCAGCCAGTGTGGTTTGTGTGTGTGGAAAGTGTTGGCGAGTTGCAGCTGACTTAATGGCGACCCCATCAAGGGACTTTCAAGGCAAGGGAGAAGCAGAGGTGGTTGGCCATCGCCTTCCTCTGCAGAGTCTTCTTTGGTGGTCTCCCATCCAGTTTTCCCTCTAAGCTGGGTTAGTGTGAGCTAGCTCACAGTATTTTTAGCCTCTGGCTCACACATTTTTGTCTTCGCTCAGAAAAGATGGCTCCAGAGCAAACTAATTCATGCAGTCGCCAAATCGCTCGCTCACAACTTTAATGCTGGGAGCTCACAAAGTAGAATTTTTGCTCACAAAACTCCATGGCTTAGTGGGAGCATTGCTCCCATCCAAGACTTATGGTGACCCCCAGCAAGGGGCTTTCAAGATGAGTGAGAAGCAGAGGGGATTTGCCATTGCCTTCCTCTGCACAGTCTTCCTTCATGGTCTCCCTTCCAAGGACTGACCCTGCTTAGCTCCCGAGATCAGATGAGATTAGAGATGATATGATGAGATGCCACCTTCCCTCCCAAAGTGGTTTAGCCTTCTACTTTTTGCAGGCCTTTCAACAGGTATTGCAAAGCAAATGTTTCTTTTGGCAAGTGAATGCAGTGGAAGCAGTTTTTCCAGGGGCTTGGTATGCCTTCCTCACTCCCAGCCATTTCCTTTGTATTGCACCCCAGAGAGGCTCCTGTAGGCAGCAGGGACCTGCAGGTAAAGGTGGGCGTTCTCCTGGCTGGGCAGGTCTTGGGCAGGGTAGCACTTCTCCCCCGGAAGATGAGCAGAGCTGTCCCTCCAGCCGCTGGCCACTCAAAAGCTTGTGAATGTGCCACAGCCACAGTATTTTCTCTCCTACCTCCTTTGCAGGTCCAGAATATCAGCCTTGTGGAAGGCGAGACGGTCACCGTGGAGACCCTCGGAGGGGTGGAGCCTGTTGCCTTGGCCAATGAATCGTTCCTGATGCGTGGTCAGGTCATCCGCGGCCCAAACAACCAGGTGGTGGTTCGCTTCCAGAGCCCAGCACCTGCCAACCCCGGCACCTTCCATTTTCATTTTCAAGGTGAGGTCAAGATGGAGGGGGAGGGCATGCCGTGATCCAGATGCTTCCTGTAGACCAGGGTCTCTGACCTTGTTGAGCCTCCGGGCACCTTCGGAAGCCTGACACAGCAACGGTGGGTGCAATCACAAAATGGCTGCCAAGGAGATGGAGCCGGGTACAAAATGGCTGCTGCACTTTGCCTTCAGTCACACAGTCCTTGTCCTGTGGTGACAGCTGCTGTCAAAGCAATGTTTTTAAAATTTTGCACAATCGAATCTCTAGTGGCCAATCAGAAGACCTGTTGGGCAAAAGCCCGACCTGGCCCCTCCCACTTCCTGAAAACACTTGGAGGGTACCAAGAAGGTGTTGGCAGGCACCATGGCGTCCAGGGGCACCATGCTGGGGGACCCTGCTGTAGATCCTTCAGCTATCCATGGGGGGGGGACATTCGTCAGGCGCTTCAGAATTGGAGGGGGAGTGGTGTGGTAGAAGGGCCGGACACTGACTGGGGTCCTGTTAAATACTGGGTTCCAGACGCATTGCAGTGATCAGCTCTGGTTCATTAAGTGATTTCAGCAGAACACAAGACGAAGCTAGCAGGGCTGGAGCCCTGCTTATACACATGCAAAACGCCACACCCAAAACCCACCCACTCCCAGTGATAGGCTATTTACATTACACTGCTTATCTATAGGTTAGTTCCTGGGTCCAGGCGAGTTATTGTTTTAAAGCCAGTTTGGTGTTGTGGTTAAGTGCGCGGACTCTAATCTGGGAGAACCGGGTTTGATTCCCCACTCCTCCACTTGCACCTGGCTGGATGACATTGGGCAAGCCATGGTTCTGATAAGAGCTGTTCTTGAAAAAGAGACATTTCTGTCAAGAGCTCTCTCAGCCCCCACCTACAGGGTGTCTGTTGTGGGGAGGGGAAGGGAAAGGAGTCTGTGAGCCGCTCTGAGACTCCTTTGGGTAGTGAAGGGCCATGGGGTATAAATCCAGCCTCTTCTTCTCTCTCAGCCCCACCTACCTCCCAGGGTGTCTGTTGTGGGGAGGGAAAGGGAAAGGAATTTGTAAGCCGCTCTGAGACTCCTTTAGGTAGTGAAGGGCGGGATATAAATCCAGTCTCTTCTTCTTCTAAAGAAGCAAGCTCAGCCCATTCTAGGTGCATCAAGAGGAAAGGCTTAGGCTCAGTACATAATAGGTCCCATCCTGATATCCTTTCCTAAGACTGCACTTGGAGGTCACCTGAATGAACCTGGATGGCAGCAGGTGAAGGCTGGGAAAAGATAAATGCACAATTCACTCAGGGAATTCACTGCCACAAGAAGTAGGAAGGCCATTATCTGATGATAAAAAGGGGTGTGGGCGTTTTCCAGATTGCCCTACTGTTCCCCTATGTTACCTTTTTTCCCTTGTGCCCAGAAAACCTCATTAATATCCTTGTCCTGGTTTTTCCTCATTCCCCCCACCCCTTTGTTTCCTAAACCAACGTGGTATAGTGGTTAAGAATGGCGGACTCTAATCTGGAGAACTGGGTTTGATTCCCCACTTCTCCACATGCAGCCAGCTGGGTGACTTTGGGTCAGTCACAGTTCTCTCAGAGCTGTTCTCTCAAGAGCAGGTCTCTCAGAGCTCTCTCAGCCCCACCTACCTCACCAGGTGTCTGGTGTGGGCAGAGGAAGGGAAGGAGATTGTAAGCCACTTTGAGACTCCTTCAGGTAGAGAGAAGTGAGGTATAAAAATGACCTCCTCTTCCTCCTCCTCCTCCTCCCTCTTTTTCTTCATCTTCTTCCTCCCATACTTTTTTCCCCTTTGCAGAATGAATTCGCAAGATTGCCTCTTGCCTGAAATGTGAACACTTTTTTTCTATCTTCTGCATTGCTGCCCAAACCCACCCACAAAAGGCGGGTTTGGGCCAATGTTCCCTCTAAGCTGTGGAGCAAAAATTCTACTTTGTGAGCTACTGACATTATGGTTGTGAGTGAGCAGTTTGGCTATTGCATAAATTAGTTTGCTCTGGAGCCATCCTTCCTGAGCTAAAACCAAAATCTGTGAGCTGGAGGCTAAAAAACTGTGAGCTAGCTCACATTAACTCAGCTTAGAGGGAACACGGGTTTGGGCAATGATTTTTTAAAAGTTTCCATGCCAGCATCTCAACATTTGAGTGTTGGAGGGCTCCTGCGCTGAAACAAAAGTTCAGTCCTATTCAGGGGCCCAGCACCAGCAGCCAATCATTGCCTTCCTTACCATTCCTTCATTCACACTCAAGAGCAGATTCTAGCATGTCCCTGGGTGCCATTTTCAAATACACTTTGTAGTGCATGCAGCTACCCTGAAAACATGTAATTGAAGGAAACAAGCTGTTGGGAACAGTGTACTGATTCAAGTCAGGGAAAGAAATTGAAAATTTTGGGAGGGAGCCAATGAGAGAGGATGCTCAAACACAGGGAAAGAGGCAACCGAAAAGGGGTGAGACACATACACCAGGTATGACTCTCAGGTATGGTGTGGTAGGCTGGGAATGTACTCATAAGGGGATTTCTCGGCCCCTTGCGGCTGCTAAAGTGCTGTGATGCTTCAGCGAATGCACACAAAAAAGACAAAAAGGGGGGGGGGACAGAAAACCGATCCACAATGTAATGTGAACAGATGGAACCCTGACGAGGGAAAAACGAAGAAAACATGTGTGTATTGATTGCACCGATAGCGTGATCCTTGGAACCGCCACAACACCGAAAAAAACCCGGTAGGCGGCTACAGTCTGGAAAATGCCACGGTGCTGGAACAGTCTATGGTTGCATCTTCCTGACATTTAGGGTTGCTGGTTCCCCCGACCGCTGGCAGGGGATGGGAGGCAGTGCTCCCTCTAAGCTGAGTTAGTGTGAGCTCACAGTTTTTTAGCTTCCGGCTCACACATTGTTGTCTTCGCTCAGGAAGGAGGGCTCTGGAGCAAACTAATTTATGCAGTAGCCAAATCGCTCGCTCACAACTTTAATGCCAGGAGCTCACAAAGTAGAATTTTTGCCCATAAGACTCCACAGCTTAGAGGGAGCATTGATGGGAGGCAGGGTTGACAGATCCAGGTTGGGAAACTCCTGGAGGTTCGGGGTTGGAGCCTGAGGAGGACAGGGACCTCAGTGGGGCACAAGGCCACAGGTCCACCTTCCAAAGTATCCCTTTTCTCCAGGGGAACCGATCTCTGTAGTCTGGAGGGGAGCTGTAATTCCGGAGGATCCCCAGGTCCCACCTGGAGGCTGGCCTGCCTACTGACATTTTTAAGGAAGTAAATTTCTGGCACGTGTGCCTTCCCGCGCATATTGGAGCTGTGTGGGGGAGGGAGAGAAGAGGGTTTATCCTCCCACCCCTACCCAGTTTTACCTCTCTTCTCACCCCTTCACACTTGCACGGCAGAACTCTGCAAGGGTGGAAGGGGTAACCCTCCTCTGACCTCCCCACATAGTCCTGATCAGTGTTCCCTCTAAGCTGAGTTAGTGTGAGCCAGCTCACAGTTTTTTAGCCTCCGGCTCACACATTTTTGTCTCGGCTTGGGAAGGACGGCTCCAGAGCAAACTCATTGATGCAGGAGCCAAATCGCTTGCTCACAACTTTAATGCCGGTAGCTCACAAAGTAGAATTTTTGCTCACAAGACCCCACAGCTTAGAGGGAACATTGGTCCTGATCCAGATAGAACCATGAGCTCCTGTGAAGGGGTTAGGAGACCTGTGGCTGCCATCCTGCCTCCCTTAGGTGATTTAAGAGAGGTGGGGGGGGACTGGAAAATTCATCTTGGGAAGTCTATCAAAAGCCATTAGCCATAACAAGTAGAACCTCCCTATTCAGGGGCAGTGCACCTCTGCTAGGGATAAACAACACAGGAAGGCCTTCCTGTCCAAGCTGGGCTTCTAGGCTTCCCAGAGGCATCTGGATAAAGGGGGAGGCTTCAGCCTAATCCAACAAGTCTCCCGGCTTGTGGAAGGCGGTGGTGGTGGTGGTGGTGAGTAGGCAAGGGCCTTCTGCTATGGGATGCAGCCCTGCCAGTGCCGTGACCGTCCTTGTCCCCACCCCCACCCCCTGCACAGCCAGCACAGGGGCCGCCACGGCACCAGGGCTTTCCTTGCAGCTGCAGCACAATTAGCTAATTGGGAGCTTGCTAATCACTGCCGGAGCTAATCGCCGATGCTGCCAGGTTAAAGCGGGCACCCACCGAAGAGACACTTAATGGGGAGCTAATTGGTCCCAGCAATTAACGTAATTTGCATGGAGAATTGGGGGGGGGCTGCTGTCGCGTGACACCCACCGTCATGTCTTGCTGGTGCTGGCACCTGCACGCCTTCTCATTCCTCCTCCCTCCCCTTAGACCAGGGAGAGCCCCCCGACCAGATCTGTGCCAGTTAATAATGTCTGGCATTGATGCGTTTTTCAAGTGTTCAGAACACCCCGGAGAATCTTAGCCAGAGCCGCCTCCAAGGCAGTCTGGCCACACTGCCCCCTGCCTTCGGGTCACCCACCTACAGCTCAGTGGATTGATTGATGGACTTCACTTTTGTGCCGGCTTTGCCATTGAGCCTCAAGGGAGAGGTCCTCCTTGCCCTGCCTTCTCCCAGTCCACCACAGGGTGGATGGTCGGGTTGCCAGCCCTGAGCCACGAGACACCTGGAGATTTGGGGGGGTGGAGCCTGAGGAGGGCGGGGTTTAGGGAGGGGAGGAGCCTCCGCATGGTATAATGCCAAAGCGTCTATTTTCTTCAGGTGAATTGATCTCTGTTGCCTGGAGATCAGATGTAATCTCAGGAGATCTCCAGCCACCACCTGGGGGTGGGTGGGAACTATAGTGGATGCTCCTCGGGTTGCCAACTCCAGGTTGGGAAATTCCTGGACATTTGGGGGGGTGGAGCCTGACGAGGGTGGAATGTGGGCAGAAGAGTAAGGTCAGCGGGTTATGATGCCATAGAAACAATCCCTCCAAAGCAGCCACTTTCTCCAGGGAAACTGATCTCTGTAGTCTGGAGATAATTTGTAATTCCGGGAGATCTCCAGGCCCCACCAGGAGGATGGCAACTTTACCCAGGGGTCATTTCGTAGAAAAAGAGGTGCAGGAGCGCATTAAAATAACTCATTAGCATAACTTATTTGCATACAGCCACACCCCCTGACATCGCTGGAAGTGTGTCAGAAGGCAACACCTTCAGGCGCCACTAGAGTCTTTTGGATTGCTAGCTATTTGGGGGTGGGGGACGTGCAGATCTGTCCTCGCAGAGGAGGGAGAGCTTGTACCTGAATAAAACTTGGTCTTAAAGGTGCCACTGGACTGTTTTGGACCGGGGGGGGGGCTCTGCAACTTACCTGGCTGCTTCTTGCTCTGACTGAGGGCTGCTGGGAGCAGGGGGGGGCTTGTTGCATGTGCCCGCCCCCTGGGCTCTTTACTGCCGGAGCTCCGCTCCTGTGCGCTCCTGCAGGAAATGACCCCTGACTTTACCAATGTTCCTTCCCCCCCCTCCACAATCAACACCTCCCCAGATTCATCAAAAAAAACAAACCCCACTGTCCTCCCCTTTTCAGAGCCTTGCCTGGTGTACATACGCAGGGGAAGGAGGGAACAGAAGAGACCACAGCACTTCAAACTAGGCAGTGTGTGTCAATTTCTAGAATGCTCTCCTGCATTTAAGAAAAACAACATCTGCCAGTTCAGCACAGCAGACCTAGACAGAGTTAACCTGCTGGGCTAGTTGTCCCCATTTGGAGGGGAGTCTGTTGGGCAAAGGAACATTCCAAGCTGGATACTACCACTGAAAATGGGCTGTGCCTTCTACTTCCTCTGCCTCCTCCACCTTTCCCTGTGTCAGATGGGTGAAGGGAAAAGGAAGCAGTTTTGCCTGGCCCTGCACATTGTAAATTGGCTCACTGGTTCAAGTCACCTACAAGCACTGGCTCTGCAGGCGTCTGGCGGTAATCCGTTTGCTCTGGGTTCTGTGGCTGTATCCACTGCCAGAATATGGGGTAATCGTTGTGGCCTACCTCACAGGGCTGTTCTACAGAGACCAAGTGCAGTGTAGTGGTTAGAATGTCGGGCCTGTGACATGGGATGCCCGGATTCAAATCCCCACTCTGCCATGGAAGCTTGCTTGCTGCATGACCTTGGAACTGTCACATACTCTCTGCCTAACCTATCTCATGAGGTAGATGTGAGGACACAAGAGAGAAGAGGAGAACAATGTAAGCCATTTTGGTTCTTGAGAGCCAGCGTGGTGCAGTAGCTAAGAGCGGTGGATTCTAACCTGGAGAACCGGGTTTGATTCCCCACTCCTCCACACGCAGCCAGGTGGGTGACCTTGGGTCAGTCACAGCCCTCTCAGAGCTCTCTCAGCCTCACTTACCTCACAGGTGTCAGGTCCCACAGCAATCAACGGAGGACACACTTGTAGAAAAGGATTACTTTATTGAAGCCATGAGTCACTTGAACAGAATCACTGTTCAGAATAATGCTAGCTCATTGAGCTGGGAAGGTTGAAGCAAGTTCATAATCGGTACAGCCAATAAACATGGTTCCCGCTCGCGCCCAAACCCCTGGGAAAGCAACGGCAACTGTGTTATCACTACAAAACGCTTCTCACAGTTTCTACTCATTAAAACCAAAGCAAAGCAGAGTTCTTCTCTTGACCACCTGTGATCTTGGAAAAGATAACGTTACAGCAAGCATGGCTGGCGTAGACTAACAGGAATGCAGTTACTATGCGCATGGTTATATGAGCGGACCTCTGGAGGGGGGGGAATACACAGAGAGGTATATTGCTGGACTGTACTACACAAATGCTTATAGAAACAAATAAGAACCTTTGGCAGCTTGCTGACAACAAGGTGTCTGTTGTGAGAAGAAGGGAAAGAAGACTGTAAGCCACTCTGAGACTCCTTTGAGTAGTGAAGAGTGGGGTATAAAACCTCCTTCTCCTTCTCCTCCTCCTCCTCCTCTGAGAAAGTTGGGGTATAAATAAGGTAAATAATAAATAATAATAAAGGAATTCTCGGAGATGCTTTGAACACTGGCAATGCTCTGTGTAAATACAAACTCACAGACCGGTTTCACACAAGAGTTGCGCCGCGGTCACGCCTCCCTTTGCTCCACTTCGGGATCACAAAACCGCGGGGGAAATCGGGCGAAGCCGCGCGTCAAAACGCGGCCGCGCGGCTTCGAGTGGGGAATTGACCAATAGAAGCGGAGCAAAGGGAGGCGCGACCGCGGCGCAGCTCTTGTGTGAAATCGGTCACAGTCTCTTTAAGGCAGGCCAACTCAATGTGACACTAAACTTGAGAAAGACAGTGAAGTATTAACTCAAGAGATGAATCAGGGGTCTCATCAGAAGTCATTTCGGGGAGATCGTGGGGGATCGCAGTTCCCCCGGGTGAGGTGCAGGGGGTGGGGCACATGACAAAGCCCCGCCCCTTCTTCCGGCCGCCCCCTTCTTCCAGCCTCATTCTGTTGCAGAAGGAGGAAGAAGCAGGAGGGTAAGTTGGCGTCCTCCCCCTCTGCCTGGCCGAGGCTACTCCACGTGGCCTCCGCAAGGACTCCCAGCCCCATCCAGGAGCTTCCCCGAGGTAGCTGTGTTAGTCTGTTGCTGCAAAATAGTCCAAGAGTTCAAATAGCACCTTTAAGACTAACAAATAGCACCTTTAAGACTAACCTTTAAGACTAAGACTAACTGAGTGGTGGGTGTGGCCTTATGACACACTTCCGGTGATGGCAGGGGGTGTGGCCTTATGACACACTTCCAGTGATGTCAGGGGGTGTGTGGCCTCATGACACACTTCCGGTGATGTCAGGGGGTGTGGCATATGCTAATGAGTTATGCTAATGAGTTCCCCTAGCTCTTTTTCTATGAAACGACCCCTGGGTCTCATTGCAATGTGACACTGAGGAGGCAAAAAACCCTTTATTGGAGCTTTGCCCTTGTGCAGAATCTCCTTGCAATGAGGCAACGAAGCTGCTTTAAAGTTGAAGCCCCACGAGCGAGTGCTTTCGTCTCTCTGTGCATCATGTGCCTCTCAGGCTTCCGCTTCTCCCCACCTGCCAGCCTCAACCCTTCCTTCCTTTCTGCAGCCTACTTGCTGAGCTGTGCCTTCCCAACGCGTCCCGCCTATGGAGACGTCTCTGTCACCAGTCTGCATTCCGGGGGCAGCGCCCGCTTCTCTTGCGCCACTGGTTACCAGCTCATGGGTCAGGCCCACCTCACCTGTCTCAATGCCACACGCCCCTTTTGGAGCAGCCGGGAACCAACGTGTGTCGGTCAGTGAAGGTCCCAGCGGGTCACTCCATGAGTGGGGTGAGAGAAGGGCTTGTGGGGTCGGGGTCTTTCCCCATCGAGCTTTCTCCCAACCCTTTTGGCAATCCCTTCCCATTGCAGCGGCTTGCGGTGGAGTGATCCGGAACGCCACGGTTGGACGCATCGTCTCTCCGGGCTTCCCTGCCAGCTACAGCAACAACCTGACCTGCCATTGGTTGCTGGAGGCACCGCCAGGACAACGGCTGCACCTCCATTTCGAGAAGGTCTCGTTGGCTGAAGACGATGACCGGTGAGTATGCAGGAGATCTCCCATTCCCCAGATGGCCATCTTGAGGCTGCCATTTTGAAGCCCCTTAACAGTGCAATGGGCTGGCAGATTGATTCCTTGTTCAGTGGGGAGTGGTGTGGTTCTTCTTCTTCTTCTTTCAATTTATTGATCGCTCAATCCTTGCAGAGCTGCTGGCTCTGAGCGATTTACAGTTACTCATTTCACAAGGGACTAACAATGCTTTATAGGGGTAAGGGAGGACATCACATATAATCTTTACATAGCACACATTTTGCAGCCGACGGGGATTTGTTCAGTTGCA